TGCTTGAACCCAGAAGCAGAGGTTGCAGTGAACCATTATCATAGCATTTTGGGAGACTGAAGTGGGCTGATCACCTGAAGTCAGCAGTTCGAGACCAGCCTGGCCCAGTGGTGAAACCCCGTTTCTAATAAAAATACAAAAATTAGCTGGGTCTGGTGGTAGGAGCCTATAAGCTGAGCTACTCAGGAGGCTGAGGCAAAAGAATCGCTTGAACACAGGAGGTAGAGGGTGCAGCAAAGTGAGATCATGTCCCTGTACTCCAGCCTCAGTGACAGAGCAAGATTCTCTTTTTTTTTTAAAAAAAAGGGCAAGCCAGTTACAACGGCTTATACCTATAATTCCTAGAACTTTGGGAGGCCAAGGTGGAAAGATCACTTGAGGCTAGGAGTTCCAGGTAAACCTGGGCAACATAGCAAGACCTCATCTCTACAAAACATTTTTTAAAAATTAGGCACAGTGGCATGTATCTGTAGTCCCAGCTACTCAGGAGGTTGAGCCAAGAGGATTGCTGGAGCCCAGGAGGTGGAGGCTGCAATAAGCCATGCTTGTGCCACTGCACTCCAGGCTGGGTGACAGAGTGAGACCCTGGCACTCAAAAAAAAACCAGAATTCAGAGTAGAGAAAGGTATAAATTGTAAGTTCAAGCATGCCACGTCCCACATTTCCTTCAGAAGTGTTGATGCACGCCCCAAGAACTCTGCATTCATTTCCCAGCACTGCCTTAACAAAGTACCCTAAACTGTGTGGCTTCAACCACAGAGATTTATTCTCACAGTTCTGGAGGCCAGGAGTCTGAAATCAAGGGGTTTTTGATTGTTTGTTTGTTCTTCCTGTGAAGGCTGTGAGGGAGGGTCTGTCCCAGGTCTTGCTCCTGGATTCTCAGAGCCTCCAGAGTTCCTTGGCTTGTAGGTGGTCTTCTGTCTCTGTCTTGACTTTGTCTTCCCTTTGTAGGTATCTTTGTCCACACATCCCCTTTTTACAAGGACACCAGGCACACGAGATTAGGATTCACCCTCATTAGCTCAGCTTAGCTTGATCACATGTGAAGAGCCTATTTCCAAATAAGGTCGCATCCACAGACCCTGCGGCATAGGGCTTCAGCGTCTTTCAGGGAGACACAGGACAATGCATAATCCTATAGATTTGCAAATATTTTTAGTTTGAGTTTCTGGGTTTTATTTTTTCTTTTTTGCATCAGATGGGTGATGTGATGATACCGTAACAAATTGTGAGTAAGGCACATATCATAAAATAGCATGAAAACCCAATTGTCACGCTTATGTTTTTGTTTTTAATTTTAATTTTAATTTTTTTCTTGAGGCAGGGTCTTGCTCCATTACTCAGGCTGGAGGGCAGTAGTGCAAACATGGCTCACTGCAACCTTGACCTCCTGGGCTCCAGCGATCTTCCCACCTCAGCTTCCAAAAGTGCTAGGGTTACAGGAATGAGCCACCACCCCAGCTCTTTCCTATTTTTTGTTTGTACCTTGTTGGTTTTACTCAAAATTATACCTTTGCAGCTGGGCATGCAGGCTGATGCCTGTAATCCTCAGTACTTTGGGAGGCCAAGGCAGGTGGATCACTTGAGGTCAGGAGTTCAAGACCAGCCTGGCCAACATGGTGTAATGCTTTCTTCACTAAAAATACAAAAATGAGCTGAGTGTGGTGGTGTGTGCCTGTAATTTCAGTGACTCGGGAAGCTGATGCAGGAGAACCACTTGAACCCTGGAGGCGGAGGTTGCAGTGAGTCAAGTTCATACTACTGCACTCCAGACCGGGTGGCAGAGTGAGATTCTGACTCAAAAAAAAAAAAAAAGGTAATACACACACACACACACCTTGACAATTTTTTTTTTTTTTTGAGACGGAGTTTTCGCTGTTGTTACCCAGACTGGAGTGCAATGGCGCGATCTCGGCTCACCGCAACCTCCACCTCCTGGGTTCAGGCAATTCTCCGCCTCAGCCTCCCGAGTAGCTGGGATTACAGGCATGCGCCACCATGCCCAGCTAATTTTTTGTATTTTTAGTAGAGACGGGGTTTCACCATGTTGACCAGGATGGTCTCGATCTCTTGACCTCGTGATCCACCCACCTTGGCCTCCCAAAGTGCTGGGATTACAGGCTTGAGCCACCGCGCCCGGCCCGACAATTTTTTTATATATCATCATTCGCTGGTACAATTTAAATTATATGGTAGATTTCATTTAGATTAATACAATCTAAATACTATTCTATTAGGTTCTACAACTAAAAAAGTAGGCAATGCATTTAAATTATTCAAAGTTTAAAAACTATGAAAGAGTATAGAAATGAGTCTCCCATATGGCAGCCAGTGGCATATGTGTTTATTGAAGTCTAAGTGAGGCCAGGTATGGTGATTCATTCCTGTAATCCCAGTGCTTTGGGAGGACGAGTCAGGTGGCTCACCTGAGGTCAGGAATTTGAGAGCAGCCTAATCAACATGGTGAAATCTCATCTCTACTAAAAACACAAAAAGTAGCCAGATTTGGTGGTGAGCCCCTGTAACCCCATCTGCTTGGGAAGCTGAGGCAGGAGAACTGCTTGAGCCTGGGGAACAGAGGTTGCGGTGAGCCAAGATCACGCAGCTTCACTCCAGCATGGGCAACAGAGTGAGACTCCATCTCAAAAAAGAAAAAAAAATCTAAATAAATTAACGTTAAAGAAAATGAAGGATTTGGTTCTTTGGCTGCCTGGGCCACATTTCAGGTGCTCCATGGCTGCAGATGGCCTGGAAACATGGTTCTCATTGCAAAAAGTTCTATTGGTTGGTGCTGGTGCAGCCTTAAAGCTGCTCTCCCACCCCTCCCGAAAGCCATCCACTGTTAGGGTTTCTTTGGTGATTCCTTTCTGAGATGATCTATGCACACAATCAGCACGTGGCGTTAATATATCCACCTAAAAAATCGGTGTCTCCAGTGTAGTGCGAATGATCATATAATAGTCCATGGAATGGAATGTATTAGGCTGGGTTAATAATGAAGTGCTCTTGAGTTTCTCCCAGGTTTCCTCTCTTACATCTATTCTGTGGTGAACAGATAATTTGCTTTCTCTCCCTCCCTCTATTTCCTCTTTTCTCTTCTTCCTACCTCTTTTCTTCCCTTTCCCTTCTCTCTTCCCCTACATTTTCTCTCTTCCCCCGCCTTTTCTCTCTCCCCCACTTTCCTCTTTCTTTTACAAGGTCTTCTATGCAATGGCATAATCCTAAATCACTGCAGCCTTGAACCCCTGGGCCCAAGCGATCCTCTTGCCTCAGCCTCCCAAGTAGCTGGGACTAAGGCCTGTGCCACCATGCCCTTCCATTTTTTCATTTTTTTTTTCCTTTTTTGTGGAGATGGGTCTTACTATGTTGTCCAGGCTCATTTTTATCTTAGTAGGTGCTTTTCATGGGTTCTTACCCAAGAGTACCTGGATGGAACTTAGTCACTTGAAGCCCTTGTCATTGTGTTGAAGTTTTGTGTCTGTCTCCTCCATCCTGGGGAGAAGATTTAAAACTTCCATCCCCTTTTCAAGTAGATCGGTGACTTCAAAAAGTGTAAATATGTTGGGAGGTGAGGCGGGAGGATCATATGAGGTCAGGAATTTGGGACCAGGCTGGCCAAGAAGGTGAAACCCTGTCTCTACTAAAAATACAAAACTTACCTGGGTGTGGTGGTGCACGCCCATAGGCCCAGCTTCTCAGGAGGCTGAGGCAGGTGACTTGCTTGAATCTGGAAGGTGGAGGTTGCAGTAAGTTGAGATCGCACCACTGCACTCCAGCCAGGGTACAAATAGCAGCTTTAGACTTGACCCCACCAGGCATGATCACTGGGCATGTTCAGCAGTGGATCACTTGATTCTGCCTCAGTTTCCTGTGTCTTCTCAGAGGGACGGAGTGGAGCGTCTGAAGCTGGGCTGAATGTCTTGCTGCATAAATACCCTCTCCACTTCCAGAAGACCCATGATAGGGGAGAGCCGTCTTCCTCCTAAAGCCTCACCTGTCTGATGGTTGAGACTTCTGCCTCATTTCCAGAACTCCCAGGGGTCCTTGCACGTCTTGTTGTTTGCTAAATGTGCAAGCACAGATTGCCTGTACCTCCCCTCGGACTTCCTGCCACTCCCTGTATAGCTGTCTGAAGCCTGGAAATGTTTATTTGTCTTTGGAGAAATTCTAGTTCCATCCACTGCAGACTCATCACAATTACAGTAACAGTTGGTGCTCTGACATTCTGGAGCCTGTTCCAGCAGACAGGAGGTCCCTTCTTCAAGTCCTCTTTGTAACCCCATACAAGATGAGGAAACTGAAGCCGATGAGCTCATGAATACAAAATTCCAGAGCTTGGGTTCAATTTGTCTCATGAATACAAAGTGCCAGAGCTTGGGTTCAACCTCAAATCCCTGGGCCCAGGGGTTTGAGGCTTGGGTTCAACCTTAAAGTTTGTGGGATTTAAAGTTGGTGTGGGAAGTGTTCTGTTTGGCACCCTCCATTCCGGTGTGTGTGGGTGGGGTCCTGGGTTACATGGAGAGCCCCAGTTTATGCCTGCTGACCTGATGCATTTGTGACTAGTATTCTCTTTAACTGCAAAGTGTTGTGGTTTGGGAGAGAAATTCTGGGCTCACCCTGTTCACGTGCACCCTGAGGAAGCCCTGACACCACCGTGCAGCCTCTAATACACACTGGAGAAAGATGGCGCTAGGATGTGCCTGTCAGCAGGAAGAGCTGCGAGCATCTACATCCACATGTAGACATATCTGTACACATACATTCACATACACACATCCACATATATACACACGTCTTTACATATATCTGCACACATGTCTGTATACCCACACGTTCATACACATGTCTACATATAGACACATCAATGTACACATCACTGTACACACACATGCATATCCACACATTCATACACACATACCTGTGTATTTCCATATATCTGTATACATACACATCTACACACATCCATGTACAGATACATCTGTACACGCACACACGTTCATACACACATCTGCACACACGTCGGTGGGGATCAGGGAAACAGCATTAAGTAGTGATGGTCTGGTAATAGCGAGTATTGTTTGGACATCTTTTAGGTGAACTGACTAGCTAGTGGCTATCGGAGGGGTGTGTGGGGTGTGCCTGCAGGTTGGCAGGGCCATCAAAGATGATATTTGTAGTTGCTCATGGCTTTTCTAGAGTATCTCCCATGTGGAGCCTTGGAGTGTAGTGAGCTGTCCCCGTGGCCCACCTGCAAGTGTCTGTACCAGTGACCAACAAAGTTCTGGCTTCATGGGCCTCAAAAACTTTGGATTGTACTGTAAGAAATGCTAGTGCGCCATCACTGGACATGTCTGGTCACCACGTGGATATCAGTTGCCAGTGGCAGAATGCGAGCTGGGAGAGCCAGGAGGATGTTGCAGTCAGGCAAGCTCGATAACCAGGACTGGAGCTGGTGTACAGCAGAGGTGGCAGATGGGGTTGACTCTAGTCACATTCCACAGCGATGGTCGACTGAGTTCCTGATGGATCCAACGAGCGGGTTGTCAAGGAGAGAAGAGGAATCCTTTGGGTTTATGTCTGAGTTTATAACACAGTTTTCTTATTTTGAGAAATCCGGAGTTTAAAAAACTGGGGAAGGGATGCGCATAGTGGTTCACACCTGTAATCTCAGCACTTGGGAGGCCAAGGCGGGTGAATCACTTGGGCTCAGGAGTTTGAGACCAGCCTCGCCAACATGGTGAAACCCCATCTCTACTAAAAATACAAAAATTAGATGGGCATTATGGTGTGCATCTGTCATCCCAGCTACCTGGGAGGCTGAGGCAGGAGAATCCTTTGAACCCGGGAGGCGAAGTTTGCAGTGAACCTGGATCCTGCCACTGCACTCCAGCCTGGGTGACAGAATGAGACTCTGTCTCAAGAAAAACCAAAAATTGGGAAAGGATCGGCATAGAAATCCATTAGCTGGGCTGTCTTTTGCCCTCTCTCCAGTCCCAGCTTGTGTGATCATGGATGGGCTTGCTGGCCAAGCCTGTCATTCCAGGTGACACCACAGCCTTTTCAGAGCTAGAGACCTGCAGTCACCCATGGTCGGCAAGGCTGAGTGGTTCCAGGCACAGCTGGAGATGAAACTGGTGATGGGGGCAGCCCTGTCATCTTTATAGGGAACCTCACATGGCAGGCGGGCAGTAAGCTGGCCTCTCTGCATCGCTGAGCTATCTGCTGAGTGACCAGTCCCACGTGACAGGTAGGAGATGAAACCCCTTGTGCCCTGTCTCCTCCATGGCCAGGCTAGGATGTGGGCCAAATGTCTCCTGATGGTCCTCATCACCCCAGCCTCTCAATATCAACATCTCATCTAAGGACAGACGCAGGCTCAGTGTGAGCCCCCAGAACCTCCCAAAACCAACTGCCCCCACAAACCTTAAAATAGCAGATTTTGGGCAGTTTTTATTTTCACCCATGATAAGAAACATATGTAACATTTTGACCTAAAACACACGGGGCATTTAAAACACACACACAGGCTGAGCAGGTGCTGGCCCTGTGTCAGAGCCAGGGTGGTGACGCCTGGGTGTGCTGCTTATGTGTTCTGAAAGATTCCAAGGTAAGGACAGGAGCTGGGGCTGGGGGCACTTGGAGCAGTGGCTGTTGACCACCTCGTGTGGGTGTTTGGGAGTCATAACAGCTGGCCCATTTCCACCTGTGTGTTTTAGATGACCTTCAGTGTTGCAGAAGCTTCAGAAGGTGAAATTTACCCTACAACTTACGACGTGTGATTAATTCTGTCATCTGTCCTATTGGATTTTGTTTCATTCTACTTTTTTTTTTTTTTCAGACAGAGTCTCACAGTGTTGTTGGGACTGGATGCAATGGTGTAATCTTGGCTCACCACAGCCTCTGCCTCCTGGGTTCAAGTGATTCGCCTGCCTAAGCCTCCTGAGTAGCTGGGATTACAGGTGCCCACCACCACACCTTGTTGTTTATTTATTTTTTTGTATTTTTGTAGAGACGGGGTTTCACTATGTTGGCCAGGCTGGTCTTGAACTCCTGACCTCAGGAAATCTGCCTGCCTTGGCCTCCCAAAGTGCTGGGATTACAGGCATGAACCACTGTGCCCAGCCTCATTCTACTTTATTCTTAAGCCAAGCACAGTGTCCCATGCCTATAATCCCAGAACTTTGGAAACCCAAGGCAAGAGAATTGCTTGAGCCCAGGAGTTCAAGACCAGCCTGGACAACACAGTGAGACCTCTGTTTATACAAAAAAAAAAAAAATATATATATATATATATATATACACACACACACACACACACAAACACACATATATACAAAAATTAGCCAAGGTGGTGGCACATGTCTGTAGTATCAGCTACTTGGGAGGCTGAGGTAACAGGATGGATTGAGTCTGGGAGGTCAAGGCTGCAGTGAACCATGATCAGGCCTGTCTGTGGGCTGCTGAGCAGGGTACGTGTTGACTCTTCAAGGAGTCCCCCAACCCAAGGCCCCTGAGGTATCCCGAGTCCCCTCTTTGCCTGGGGCTGGAGGTGTTGGTCCCTGGGGGCTGACCCTTTCACTGCCTGCTCTGTCCCTGCAGTACTGCTGGAAAGGAAAAAGGAGGATGGATGGTGGGTGGCTGCCCTGGATGCCAAGGTATTCATGCCAGGGCTGGTGGGGCTGCGTGCCCTTGGCCTGCTGCAGCAGCGGGACTGGCTCTGCACCAACTTCATGAGCATCCAGTACAGCCTCCTGGGTAGGGCACTGCGTGCCTGGCTGTGGGGCAGGTGGAGGTGGCAGGGCCTGCCCCATTTCCTGTGGCTGTGGTTCTGTGAGCTAAGATATGCTGTCACCACAGGATTTTCCATTAGTCATTCTGTGGGCTCTGAGTAGGACTTAGTCCCTGCTCATTAAAAAGAAAAGATGTGTCTGTTGAGGGGACATTTATCCATCTCTTAAGACCTCCCCATGGACAGGTTCTAATGGAGTGACAGTTGAAGCAGAGCACAGGGCGGGGAGTACATGGCTGAGGCCAGGCTGGGCTGAGCCCTCCTCCTCTTGGAGTGCTGGTGGAGGGCTGCCTGGCAGAGGAGGGCAGAGGTCCCTTTATCAATCCTCACAGTTCAGGCAAAGCAGTCAGCACACCAGTGCAGCACCAGCCAGAAGCTGCAGACAGAGAGCGACTCAGATGGCGCCTACAGACTGGAGCTGGGCCATGAGCTCCACTGCACACAGATCCCAGCCTTCAGCCACAAGGTGGGTGCCCAGGCCAGGTGGGATGTCCAGAGAGAGCACCAGAGTCTGGCAAGTGGTGATCTGAGTACCTTGAGCTCATCCCCAAAGAGATGAACTTGCTCCCAATAGCATAGCCATTTAGGAATGGATCCAGGGCTGGCACTTCAGCCTCAGTCTTATGTCTATTCATCCAGAATTGCTTCAGCCCAGGAGGTAGAGGCTGCAATGAGCCAAGATGGTGCCACTGTACTCCAGCCTGGGCAACAGAGTGAGATCTTATTCCTAAAATAAACAAATAATAAATTAAAAAACAAAACAAGGCCAGTCGCAGTGGTTCATGCTTGTAATTCCAGCACTTTGGGAGGCTGAGGTGGGCGGATCATGAGATCAGGAGTTCAAGACCAGCCTGGCCAACATGGTGAAACCCTATCTCTACTAAAAATACAAAAATTAGGCAGGCGTAGTGGCGGGTGCCTATAATCCCAGCTTCCCCAGAGGCTGAGGCAGGAGAATAGCTTGAACTGGAGGTGAGCTATGGGAAGAACTGGGACAAGAGCAGCAACAAAAGGCATCTCTGTGACAGCCAGACCTTCAAGAATGACTCGAGGCCCACTGTGAGCAATCACTTCATGGAGGTAAGCCCGGTCACAGCAGGAGAGCCGTGCCCTGTGAGTCCAGTGTGGCCAGCGGGAGCTAGGGAACTCCTCATGGCCCTCTGGCCCTTGCTGTAAGGATGCAGGCAGCTGAAACTCAGCCTTGGTGACTTTCCCTTTTGCATCTCCAGCCCCACATCCCCAGGGGTGAGAAACGCTTGTCACAGTGCCAAGGACTGGAAGGAGGGCTTGGGAAACACAGATGTCAAATCGTAAAAAAGGCATTTTGGAAACAGCAGTTCGCTTTGAGTTTTTCCCAGAGTACGGGTCCTTTTGCTGAGTGAGGAATGTTGGTGTGCTCAGCAGATGAACAGGTGGTGGTTCTTCCACAGCATGCATTTAACCCTGTACATTTTTTTCCCTTTTTACATCCAGTCCTGAAAATGGTGGTGGTTTATTTATTTATTTTTTTTGAGATGGACTCTCGCTGTGTCACCAGGCTGGAGCGCAGTGGCACAATCTCAGCTCACTGGATCCTCTGCCTCCCATATTCAAGCGATTCTCCTTCCTCAGCCTCCCAAGTAGCTGGGACTACAGGCATGCACCACAATGCCTGGCTCATTTTTTTATTTTTAGTAGAGTTAGGGTTTTGCCATCTTGGCCAGGATGGTCTTGATCTCTTGACCTCGTGATCCACGGGCCTCAGCCTCCCAAAGTTCTGGGATTATAAGTGTGAGCCATCGTGCCTGACCCAACCTTCTTTTTTTCATGGGCTTCTGTCTTATTCTTATAAGGTCTCCAAGCTAATATCCCTTATGCCTCCTGCCTCAGTTTCTTCAGTCTTCTTCCTGCTTTCCTTTGAGTGTACAGCCTTGTTTCTGTGAAGCTCACTGCCACACGGTCTCTTTTGGGTTCCACTATGAGCTCTTTGCTGCCGTGTGGTCGTTAAACGCTCACAGCGGCTGCCCCAACTGCCCTCCTGGCAGGACCAGGAACTTCTGGCCTCTCCACCATCCGGGGCTAAGACCTTGCCCAATCCCAGGGTGGATATCCCTCTGAATGGCTATTGAATGTCACCTCCACATCCTCTGCTGTCCCAGAGTCCCATGGCCACCCACAGGGCAGTGAATTTGGAAGAGTGCTCCAGGACTCGGCACAGAACACTGTGCTGTTCTCAGCTGTCATTGACTACAGTGAGAGGAGGCAGGAATGTCAGCACAGGGTAGGGGGCTGGGGCGGAGTCCAGGGGGAACCAGGGCCAGCACCCAGTGTCCTCTCCCAGTCCCTGCACCTTCTCACAGGATGCACTTGGCTGTTCCAGCACTATGTCACCCAGGGTGTTTAGCGGGGCTGCCTAATTGGCAGGTGCTGCTTGGCTCAGAGCACACTGTCAGACTCCGAGGCAAGCAGGGGTCTGGCACAAACCACGTTTTTACAATCAGTTCAGGTGCAGAGAGCCTCATATCATTTCTAGGATCGGGCGAACCCTCCCTCAATCCAAGTTCCCAGACAACTTATGAGCAGGCCATGCAGAGGCGGCTTGGGTCTGCTGTAACAACTCACCTGCAATCTTCAGTGCCTTCTGCTCTATTCCTTTTCCCCCACTCCACCCACCATCTTAATCCCAGGAACAGGCCCTATCTCCTCGAGGCCTGGGCTGGGCCTCTGAGCTGCCCAGAGGACTCATGATGGGTGGTGGCTGCCCATTGTAGGGTCCCTGGCCACACTGAAGAACGCCTTCCTTGAAGTGATGCTGCAGCCCCTGAAGGAGGTGTGGTGCGAGTGGGCAGAGGAGGCCATGTGGTGGCTACAGCCCTGGGTTCTGGGAATGCCAGGCAACTGGGGTCCCAGGCCCATCAGGACAGCCCTGGGGGCTGTGAAAGTCACCCTGGAGCTGGAGAGTGAGACCAAGGATGGGGACATGGCTGGCAGTTGAGGATGACCAAGACAGCTCTCACTGTCCCCTCCCTCTCCAGGTGGCCCACCAGATGCTGTCCTGGGTTTAGGCCACGTTCTCATGGGCACTGAAAAGGCTCTGCAAACCCCTGCTGGACCTGTATGACCACGTAACCAGATAATGCAGGGTTGGGAGTGGCACATCCAGCATTCCTGCCACATATCAGGTGCAATGCTGAATGCTTCAACACGCTCTGACTCACTGACTACTCTGACCGCTCTACACCAAGGCTTCTTCACTCCCCATTTCACAGGAGAGAAAGCTGGGGTTTCTTCCTCACTCCACAGAGACCTCGTGAGCATGGTCCCAGTGCAGGCAGGATTTTAGTAGCTGCTGCGGAGGACCACAGTGGGCAAGGCTGACCCCTGCCTTCAGGAAGCTTTACTCAGAGACAGACACAAAGCACAAGAAATGTACAGCAGGGTGTGCACTGCTCCCTGCAGAGAGCCTGAGAGTCACCTCTTAAGCAGGCCATTCTGCTCTGTCACATTTCCTTGCTCTTCTTTTGTAATCATCTTTTTTTTCAGATGGAGTCTCGCTCTGTCTCAGTGGTGTGATCTCAGCTCATTGCAACCTCTGCTTCCTATGTTCAAGTGATTCTCCTGCCTCAGCCCTCTGAGTTGCTGGGACTACAGGTGTGTGCACTACTGCACCTGGCTAATTTTTTTCATTTTTAATAGAGACAGGGTTTTGCCACTCCAGGCTGCTCTCAAACTCCTGACCTTCAGTGATGCAACCCCTTTGGCCTTCCAAAGGATTGGGATTACAGGCATGAGCCACCACTCACCTGTTTTGTAATCTTTTAAACACATAAAAGCCCTTCTTTCTTGCAGGCTGTGCAGAAGCCGACCACAGGCTGAGTGTGGCCCACTGCCCATCATTTACCACCACTGAGCCATACATTAGGTGGCAAATGCTGGAGAAGGAACATTGTTGAGTTGGTGGGCTGGGGATTCTATGGTGTGGCCACGGCCAGCTTTGAGGAGAAGGTACAGTTTGAGCAAGAGCCATGGGGCCAGTATGGGAACAGAGCTCCAAGTGTGGGCACCACTGCACAGAGACCTGGGAGAGGAATGTGCTTGGCCTGTTTTTGAGATGGAGTCTCGTGCTCTGTCACCCAGGCTGGAGTGCTGTGGTGTGAACTCAGCTCACTGCAACTTCTGCCTCTCAAATTCAAGTGATTCTCCTGCCTCAGCCTCCCAAGTAGCTGGGATTACAAGCATTCACCACCATACCCGGCTAATTTTTGTATGTTTAGTAGAGATGGGTTTCACTATATTAGCCAGGCTGGTCTCCGAATCCTGGGCTCCAGAGACCCGGTGCTGTGATTATGGGCATGAGCCACCTTGCCTGGCCTGTTTGAATAGCAAGGTGATGGGGCTGATGCAACTGGGAGGTTCCAAGGCTGGGGGTGGTGAGGGGAGGAGTCTGGCTTCTGCTGTGACCTAGGAAGGACGTGATCACCCTTTCACTTCAAAAGGCCCCTTCTGTCCCTGTGTTGAGAACATGGGGGTGGTGGATAGAAGTGGGGAACCCAGCCGAGAGCAGGGGCCTGGGGACCCAGTATCCTTTTCCCTCACAGCCATGAGGCACAGGCAAAGGGGCTCCAGGCAAGGGGGCCACCCCTTCTTCCATGCTGGTGGCCTTGCAGAGCATCTGAACTCTGGCTCTGCCTCTTACTGAGATTCCTCTGCATCGTCTCTGTTTGCCTCAGTTTCCCCAGCTGTAGAATAGGAACTAAACCCACATCATGGGGAAAAGTCTCCATGTAACACAAGTTCCTGCTCCTGCCACCTTGCGGTCAGAATGTAGGCTGAGGAAGGGAAGAGCTCCCAGGGCGTGGCTTTGGCTTGGTTGAAGAATTACCTGCCTGGTTATTCGCTTACCTGGTGAGTGGGATCCGGTGGGGGTGCCAAAAAATGGATTCAACTGGCAGCGAGGGTGTTGAAGTTGCTTCCTGCCCCCAGCTGCAGGACCTCTGTGCTCCCTAAAAGGTAAGTGAGTCCACCTGTTCATCCCCCTCACCGGCCCATCTACAACGATTGTGCAGTGTTCCTCTTCCCACTCCACCCCGACGTGAGCCAAGATCTCCCTGATTATTCAGATCTCACAGGCTTGACCTACTCTACATATTGAGAAAGTTTCAGTCCCCCCCGTCGACTATAGAAATTTCCTAGGCCTGTTGGTCAGGCACACTGGCTCATGCCCTTAATCTCAGCACTTTGGGCATATCACTTGAGGTCAGGAGTTCGAGACCAGCCTGGCCAACATGGTGAAACCCCGACTCTACTAAAAATTCAAAAATTAGCCAGGCATGGAGGCTGAGACAGGAGAATCGTTTAAACGCAGAAGGCAGAGGTCGCAGGGAGTCCAGATCATACCACTATACCCGAGCTTGGGAAACAGAATGAGATTCTGTCTGAAAACAACAAAATTTCCTACACCTTCCAGCTCCTATCCTTGGCGTCCACACACACAGGCCCATGCTGCCCAAGACCCAGGGGGCAGATCAGACATGACATCAAGGACTGCCCCTCCCCGAGAGACATCCCAATGCTCTCCATGCCAGAGCACTTCCTGCAGACCTATGAACTTTCTGCCGCCAAAAGCAGCAAGGCTCGGCTAGGCATAGCGACTTGTCCTGTGTGTTCCCTCTAGGAACTACTCAGTGGTGGCAACGTTGCCACTGCCACCTCGGGGGCATGAGCCCCCAGACATGGTCCAGGTGACCAGCTACCTGGTGGAGTAGAAGCTGCTACGGCTGCTCCGAGAGCTGTCCAGGGCCAACATGCTGGCCGAGTTCTACCAGCTCAGATGCTGCCTGCTGCAGGGTCTCTGGGAGTGCGAGTCCTGCCCCAAGCTGTGCCACCCTCCTCCCTGGGAGCCCCCTGCCCTGTGGGCACAGCAGCAGGGCCGTGCATGGGCAGGTACCGTGAAGGCACAGGGAAACTTGCAGAGGCTCATGGCATCACAGTGCCAGGTCCAAAGCTTATTGGACTTCCCAAGATCCTATGGGACTAGGGCTGAGGCTGCACATCCTGCTTTTCTCCAGATTATAAGGCCTGGCCCAGCAGTGCAGACAAGGGCAGTGCTGGGATGACCAGCTCTGGGCTCCTGGGGAGCTTGCATGTGGCTCAGGTGAGTCTGCTAACCTCTGTGGACTCAGCTTCCTCTACTGTGAAACGCAGGTAACCACGTGGCTCACTCACATAAGTAAGGGGCATGTACATTCTTAATGCATGAGGGAGCCCCTCATGTCCATGGGGGAGCCACGGTACCCAGGCTTGGCAAAAAGCAGTTTATCTGTGTGGGACTCACACGGAGGCCTACAGCTCCCTAGAAGCTTGGGTGTAGTCAGGTCTAAGCAGCACGCTGATTTTGTAGAAAACAGCCTGGTCTTCAAGTTCTGTGTGTGTGACCATCGGCTTCTCTGTGCCCCTCAGTTCTGACAGCTGACCACGGGGTGGTAGTGCCTCCCTCGGGATGCTGGCCCTGGCCATCAAGTGTCTGGCTGTGCACAATGGATGGTGCTTTCCCGCCATGGGCACGAGCACCCCCAAGGCACAGCTCAGGGGCCACGCTGGCTGGACTGGTCAGACCTGCTTCTCGCAGGCCATCTCTTTCCTACCCTGAACAGGGCAGGTCTGCAAGATCCTGCTGTCATGTTTGAGGGAGCCATTGGCCATCCACTTAAACAGTCAGTTTTCCGCCCCCCCAACACAGTAGCTTCCTTGAGATTAAATAAATGATCTGCATGATTTTTTTTGAGACTAGATCTCACTCTGTTGTCATGGTTGGAGTACAATGGTGGGGTCTCGGCTCCCTGCACCCTTGACCTCCTGGGTTCAAGTGATCCTCCTGCCTCAGCCCCTCAAAGTGCTGGGATGGCTTAGTGCTACTGTGCCTGGCCGATGTGTGAATTTTAAATGCACGATTCAGTGGCTTCTAGTTTATTCAGAGTTGTGCATGCCTCACCACAATAGATTTTAAAACATTTTTATCATCCTAAAATGAAATCCTGCAGCTACCAGTCTGCCTACTGTGTCCATGGCTGTGCCTGCATTGGACATTTAATGTAAACAGAAGTATGACTATGTGGCCTCTGAGCCAGGCTTTGTCACTTAGCACAGCAATTTTGTAGCGGGTCTGGGGACTACATTTCTTGTTAGGGCTGAATTCGGCCGAAGCCCTTCAGCTCATGTCATTCTGAAGCAGGTGAGGGATCGCTGGTTTTCTGGCTGCTGCACTAGAGGAGGGGGACTCCTGGCCTCAGGGCAGGCTAAGCCGGGACTGTAGGCATTGAGGTGCCCAGCAGGCATTGGGCTCCCACTGCGGTAGGTGGAGCTGGCTCCACTCACGCTACCTTTGGGGCTGCTTCTCCCAAGTTTATGCCCTAGTGGCCCAAGCCTAGCATGTGGTGACTTTTGACAGCTGGGTGTGGGACCTCAGCGTCCAGTGTGGCAGCATCCTCCTGGCCCAAGACACTGCTCACTACACATTCTCCCTGATGCTGAGTCAGACAGGCTTGGGGCTCATGGCCCTGACTGTGGAGCTGAACCACCTGACTTCATCTTCTACCCCAGCCTGCAGGTGAGGAGGAGAGGCCCGAGTTTCTCCCGGAGACCTGTGCCTGTGGCAGTTTGCCTGGGGAGATGTCTCTTTTGAGCTTGTCCCCTGGCTGTGGGTCAGCCCTCCTGCCCACCCACTTTGGTCCACAGGCCTACAGGCTGTACAACTCCTCCCTGCCAGTGGAGAGCTGTCCAGACCTCCAGCTGCCTCTTGCCATGAAAAGGAGGGACATCCCCAGGATTGAGCTGGCCAGTGAGGAGGGGGTCTCTATCTCCTATGACATGCCCACCGGCCTCTGCAGCCTGACTCTGGGCCTCTGGCACCAAAGTGAGTCTGGGCCCCAGGAGGATTGGCCCTACCTCAAAAAGCCTCTTCAGGATGCACCATTCTCAGCTTCCAGTGCAACAGGTCCCCGGGCTACAGGTGGCCACTGTGGTTGAGATGATGGCACCGAGGCCCACATCCCTAGAATCTGTGGCTCCAAGGTGGAGTTGGCCTTTCAGTGGTCCATTTGCCAAGGAACACAAAGGGGAGGCCTGGATTCCGGCCACTCAAGCGGAGCACATGGAGAGGGAATGGGGGGACACACACTGTCCTCAGTCCCTGTGCTTTCTCTCCCTCTTGTGATGAGGGTTTGGAGCCAGAGCTCTGGGCTCTGGGAGTCCAGGGTGTAGGGATTCTATCAATCTTCTGTGTGCCTCAGGCTCGTCTCTCATACAGGTCCCCTGCGGGAGGATCACGGGCTCTCAGGACCTCCTCAGCTTCCCTGCTCCCCACAGGCATATCTGCTGGCCTTCTGGGCACCAACGACAATGAAGCAGGCAATGATCTGATGTTGCTGGACAGCTTTGTGGTCCACAGCCTGGAGGAGCTCAGCCTGGCCTGGCAGGTGAGCAGGTGCACCTGCCCTTCCTCCCTCTGGATGAGGTTCTTTACGGCTGCTCACTGCAGAGTCCCAGGAGAGGCAAGTGGCCTGCTGGCTCTGCAGAGGTCTTTGCAGGCCCAGGGTTGGGGGGAGTCTCCTGCTGAGGCCGATGTATGTGGGGGAGCCACATGGTCCAGCGGGAGGCCTGAGTTTTGTGTCTGTCCTGTCAGGTGGATGGTGACTGTAGGGCCACCGAGAAGACTCAGCAGGCCTGCCCAGGACAGAGGCCTGCCTGCCCAGCCTTCTTCCAGGACCCCCGCTCCAGCTTGGGGAACTGCTTCTGGGTGGTGAGTGTGAGCCTGGCCCCTGGGGCACAGAAAGCCCTTTCCCCAATCTACTCTGGGAAGTGGCATGGAGGAGAGGCCTAGGCTAGAGACAGTGACTGGGTGGCCCTGACTTCAGGTGGAGCCTGTACCATTCCTTAGCCTGTGTGTGCAGGACACCTGTGGAACCCGGGAGCTCCAGCCTGCCTGCACTCTGGTGGCCGCCTACATCCACCTGTGTGCCCGTAGCTTCGTGTCCCTGGCCCCTCCTCCACAGTGTGGTAAGCTGCCCCCACCAGCTGGCACTCTGCCTTCCAGCCAGAGTGAAAACCCATCTCTCTCTCTTGCCAGGGAGGACAAATAATTGTCATTCAAGGAGCTAAGAGTCAAAACAAAACATTTACAGCCTGACACAGCTTGGATGTGTGTCCCCTCCAAATCTCATGTTTGTTAGAGGGGGTACATCCCTCATGGATGGCTTAGCACCCTCTGTTTGGTGAAGCATGAGTTCTTGCTTTATTAGTTCACATGAGAGCAGTTTGTTTATAAAGAGCCTGGTACCTCCTCTCTCTCTTTGTACCCCCTCCTGTTTCTGCCATAATTGTAAGCTTCCCAGGGCCTCACCAGAAGCCAAACAGATGCTGGGGCTGTGCTTGTACAGCATGTAGAACTGTGAGTCAATTATATCTCTTATTTATGAACTGTCCAGGCTGGAGTGTAGTGGCACAATTTTGCCTCATTTCAATTTCCACCTCACAGGTTTAAGCAATACTCCTGCCTCAGCCTCCCAAAAATACAGTCAGGTATTCTTGCAGACATGGTGTTTTGCGGTGTTGGCCAGGCTGGTCATGAATTCCTGACCTATGGTTATCCACCTGCCTCGGCCTCCCAAAGTGCTGGAATGACAGGCTTGAGCCACCATGCCCAGCCTCACTAGGGATTTGAATGTCCACTCCCATTTAGAGAAAATGCTCAGCCCCTGTTTTCCCTCTGCTCTTATACTGCAAAAATCATCATCAACAGAGAAGATGACTTCTGTGAGCAAATGTGTAAGAGTTTGTCCCCACTACCAGGGCGGACCTCTAATTCAGTTCTAACACTAGCTACCCTGAGATTCTTTAGCCAGTGCTGCATATGATTGCCACAGCCAAAGCCCCACTAAAAGGACATAGAGGTCAGTATCAACAAGAGGAGTGGACTTCCGAGAGCCACAGATGCCAGAATTACTGGCTACCATTCATAGACATTTAAAATTTAATCAACTGGAAAATACGACAAAAGGAGGATGAAACAAGAGGATCCAACATGTCTCAAAGAAATTCCAGGCCGGGTGTGGTGGCTCATCCCTGTAATCCCAGCACTTGGGAGGCCAAGATGAGTGGATCACCTAAGGTCAGGAGTTGGAGACCAACCTGGCCAACATGGTGAAAACCCATCTCTACTAAAAACACAAAAATTAGCCAGGAGTGGTGGTGTGTGCTTTTAATCCCAGCTACCTAGACCCATCAAAACAGAATTGCAGAAAAGACAAAGAACAGGTCCTAAAAGCTCCTGAGGAGGGTGGAAAGAAGGAAGAACATGTTGACAATTGCTTTTCCACCAGCAGCAACAGAAGACAGTGGAGTAAGAGAAAGTAAGCATGCAGCTAGAGTTTCTATCCAGCTCAACTATTACTTAATGAAATAACCTCTCAGCACTGATCTGTCTAGAGATCTCTTTACCACAAATGGACACTTACTCAAGGGACACATTCACATGTTCATTTACATACTGTCTCTGTCTTCTTTCCTGTGATGGGGCAGAGTATCTGCAAGGGAGACCACATTTTTGCTTCCTGAAAGACTCAATTAGGAGGATGGAAAGATAAGCTACTACAGATTGGAAAAAACGTTAACAAATCACCTAGCAGACAAGGACTCATCTCCAGAGACTCATCTCTAGAATACATAAAGAACTCAAAGCTCAAAAGTAGGCCAGGTGCAGTGGCTCCCGCTTGTATTCCCAGCACTTTGGGAGGCTGAGGTGAGATGGCTTGAACCCGGGAGGTCAAGGCTGCAGTGAGCCATAACTAAAACACTCCTGGCTGCATGACAGAGTGAGACCCTCTCTCACAAAACAGAACCATTAAAGTAAAAAAATGGGAAATAAACGCATGAACAATGTTTTCACTCCCAGCCATAGGGAAACAAGGTAGTGCTACACACCTGAGCTCCAGTGAGTTCTGGCACGGGTTGGTGAGTTGCAGGGACTCCGCAGCATAAAGCATTAGTTAACATCCAAATGGCCAGGTTGTGAATTCAGCATCCACTGATGAGTGTGCTCTTAAAAGCACTCTTCTAGTGCCAAAACGTGGTGGCTGATGAAAAAAAGTGAGGCTTAGAGGCAGGAATTGAGGTCACGGTCTACCAACCAGATCCTCTAGGGAAGCAGCATTGGACTCATGAAGTGCCAAGACAGGAGGTGGCTCCACGGGAAGCTTGGAGAATCTGGAATCAAGCAGAAGCACTCATTCTTCTGATCGTGTAAATACAAAACTGTCAGCTACTACAGCGATTAAGAGAACATCTGGGAGGACAGGCAACTCAGAAGATTTATAGCCACAGGGTAACAATGGAGTATTATGTGCAGTTAAGGTCCTCTGTCTTCCTCTTAGGGTTTTTTTGTTTGAGACCGAGTCTTGCTCTGTCGCCCAAACTGAAGTGCAGTGGAGCAATCTCAGTTCACTGCAACCTTCTCCTCCTGGGTTCCCGCAATTCTCCTGCCTCAGCCTCCTGAGGATCTGGGATTACAGGCATGTACCACTACGCCCTGCTAATTTTTTTGTGTTTTTAGTGGAGATGGGGTTGCACCATGTTAGCCAGGATGGTCTCAAAAGTCAAACCTCATGATCCATCTGCCTCAGCCTCCCAAAGTGCTGAAATTACAGGTGTGAGCCACCATGTCTGGCCAGGTTTATTTATTTTAAATCAAGGGCTAAATTATTCCCTTCTCTTGGACACCAGTGAAGTATTTAAGAAAAGCAGTCACCAATTACAGTTAAATTTAAAGGACAAATTTAAAGGTGTTTGTAAGTTACAAAATAAAGGCATCTTACGAACTCTCAAAAGAAAAAAAGAATATTATGATACTTTTTATTATCTTTTTGAGATAGAGTCTTGCTCTGTCCTCCAGGCTGGAGTACAGTGGCCTCCCAAGTGCTCCAAGTACTTCCAAGTAGTTGGAATTACAGGAATCCACACCATGTTTTTGTATTTTTAGTAGAGACAGGGTTTCACCATGTTGGCCAGGCTGGTCTCGAACTCCTGACCTCATGTGATCCTTCCACCTAGCACCTGACCAGAGAAATTAAGACATTCTCCGATAAACAAAAGCTGAGATAGTTCATTACATTGGGAACTTTCCTGCAAGAAATGCTAAAGGGAGTCCTGTAAGTCGAAACAAAAAGATGATAGGTGGACATTTGAAGCCACATATAAAGACCTGTATGATTGGAATTTTGATTCACATCTCTGATTTTAATTATTTTATTGGATTTAAAAGAGATGTGTAACCATAAGCCAATGTTAAATATGTAATTTATTTTTAAAAATTAGGCATGGTGGGGTGCACCTGTAGTCTCAGCTATGGAGAATCACTTCAGTCCAGGGGCTTCAGGTTACAATGAGCTATGACAGTGACACTGCACTCCAGCCTGGGTGACAGAGTGAGACTCTCTCTCTAAAATATAGATATACTTTGTAACATCAACAACATAAGACGGGGCAGAGCTGTCAAGGAATAGAGTATTAATATGTAATTGAACTTACTAGTTTAAAATCAAGGGCCAGGTGCGGTGGCTCACTCCTGTAATTCCAGCACATTGGGAGGCTGAGGCGGGTGGATCACGAGGTCAAGAGATGGAGACCTTCCTGGTCAACATGGTGAAAACCTGTCTCTACTAAAAATACAAAAAATTAGCTGGGCATGGTGGCGCATGCCTGTAATCCCAGCTACTCAGGAGGCTGAGGCAGGAGAATTGCCTGAACCCAGGAGGCGGAGGTTGCAGTGAGCCGAGATCGTGCCATTGCACTCCAGCCTGGGTAACAAGAGCGAAACTCCGTCTCAAAATAAGTAAATTTAAAAAATCAATTGCTATAATTTCAGGATATACTCCTCATGGTAATTACAAAGAAAATACCTACAGAATGTACACAGAAGGAAGTGAGAAGGCATTCTAAGTGTGTCACACAAAAAAATCAAACACAAAGGAAGGCAGAAGGAAGGAAATGAGAGAGAAACCATAATCCAAGCAGAAAACAATCCACAGAGTGGCACAAGGAGGTCCTGTAAATGGTGTACTGGAGGCCTCCCAGAGGAACTGCAACCTTAGTCCCTGGCTGTGGGCCTCATGACACAGTCACCCACCAGGCTATTGAGTTTCATCAGATGATAATCTTTAAAAATGCAAATTATTTCCACCATCTAAAGACAGTAAGAGACTTACACATAGGATGAAAAAAGATACTTCATGGAAATGGTAACTGAAAAAAAGAAGAGGAGCTGGATTAATCTCAGACTAAATAGACTTAAGGTCAAAAGCTGTTGTAAGAGATAACGGTCCATTCACCAAAAAGATGCAATAGTTATAAAGGTACATGCAATGCACCTCAGAGCTCCTAAATATATGATGCAAACACTGACAGAATGAAAGGAGAAACAGATAGTTCTATGAAAAGTGTAGAAAACTTCAACAGCTCACTTTTTTTCCCCCCCAGAATCTTTGTTTCCCAGGCTGGAGTGCAGCTGCAACCTCCTGAATTCAAGTGATTCCCGTGCCTCAGCCTCAGAGTAGCTGAGATTACAGGTGTATGCCACCATGCCCAGCTATTTTTAGTAGTAACAGGGATTCACCACGTTGGCCAGGCTGATCTTGAACTCCTGACCTCAAGTGATCCACCCACCTTGGCCTCCCAAAGTGCTGGGATTACAGGCATGAGCCTCTGTGCCTGGCCCAATGACTACCTTTCAATAATAAATACAACACCCAGAGAGAAGATCAAGAAGGAAACAGAGAGCTTGAATGATACTATAGAAGATTTGGACCTACCAGATATATACAGATGAGTTAACCCAGCAGAAGAATACACATTCTTCAAAGTACATGTAGAATGTTCTCTGGGAAAGATTATATATTAGGCCTGAAAGCAAGATTTAATTCATTTTAAAGGACTAAAGTAATAACAGCAGAAGGAAAACTGGAATATTCACAAATCTATGGGAACTCAACAACATACTAAAAAACTATGAATCAAAGAAAAATAATAAGGAAAATTATAAAGTATTTTGAGACAAAACAATGTATCAGATCTTATGGAATGCAGCAAAAGCAGTGCTATGAGGGAAATTTATAGCTGTAATGCTTACATATAAAAAAAGCTTGCTGGAGGTGGTGGCTCAAATCTGTAATTTCAGCACTTTGGGGGGCTGAAACAGGCAGATAACCTGATGTCAGGAGTTTAAGACCAGCCTGGCTAACATGGAAAAACCCCATCTCTACTAAAAACATAAAATTAGCCAGGCATGGTGGCAAGCACCTGTAATCTCAGCTACTTTGGAGGCTGAGGCTTGAACCCATGAGAAGGAGGTTGCAGTGAGCCAAGATTGTACCACTACACTCCAGCCTGGGAGACACAGCTAGACTCCATTTACCCACCCCCAAAAACAAAAAAAAGGCAGCAGCAGCCAGGCTTGGTGATACTGTTCTATAATCCCACCTACTTGGAAAGCTGAGGCCAGGAGATTGCTTGAACCCAGGAGTTTGAGACTAACTCAGCAAGTGGCAAGACCCTCTCTCAGATAGAAAAAAAATGAAAAGCTCTCAAACCACAATCCAAACTTTGTACCTTAAATTATTAGAAAGAGAAGAACAGCCTAAACCCAAAGCTAGGAGAAGGAAGGAAATACTAAAGGTTAGAACAGAAATAAATGAAATAGAAGATGAATCAGTGACCAAAAACTTGACAAGAAAGTACAAGAACAGATGGCTTCATGGGTGACTTGTACCAAACATCTACAGAACCAATATCAATCCTGCTCATCTTCTTCCAAAATACTAAGGAAAGAATACCTCTAAACTTATTATGTGAGGTGAGCATTACTGATACCAAAGACAAACAAAGCAGCAGAAGAAAACACACCACTATTCCCGATCAATACAGAGGCAAAAGTGCTCAAGAAAATGCTAATGAGAATTCAACAGCATCATAGAAGAATTATACAACATGATCGAGTAACATTTATTCCTGGGAATGGGATTCAAAATGGCACAGAAAGAACAACTCAGGATTGCAGCTCTCAGTGAATGTGCAGAGGGTGAGTCAAAGCAGCATTTCCAGACAAATCTTTGTTGCCCGCAGAACAGGGAAATTCCCAGGTGTAGGAGAGACACAGGATGCCAGTGCAGCTGTTTTGGCTGGTGCAGCTGCTTTGGCCGGCGCTGCAGCGCAGAAACACTGCAACACTCCGCCCAAAACACACTGGTTTGGGTGCCCTGTTAAACTGGCAATCTGAGATTTGGAAGGGCATATTAGCATATCCATCTGATTAAATGGGACTTGGACAGTGAGCCAGACCAGGAGACTCCTGGGAAGCAGTGTTTGAGCCAGCACAGTGGGTCGCTGCATGGGAAATCACACAGATCCTGGTGCCATAACAGCAGGCAACTGAAACACCTGGGAGAGAGCCAACTGTTCAACTTAAAAAAAAGAAAAAAAAAGGCACTCTGAGGCAGGGAGCCAGGTGAGCAGGCTCTGTGGGTTTCACCCCCACAGGGACAAAGAAAATGGCGATTCGAAATGCTCCAAGTGGAGAGTTTCACTGCTGGCACAGCTGAACCAAGGACAGTGCAGCTCGGTGGGGGATGGGCATCCACCATTACTGAGGCAATCCACCCCTACTGAGGTACACTCCCATTGCTGACGCAGCCTGCTGTTGCCAAGGCAACCCACCATAACAGAGAGACTTCGCCGCAAGGCAGAGCCCATGACAGCAGGGCAGAGACTGTGGCTTCAGGGCAGAGCCCGCAGCAACAGAGCAGACACCATGCCAGCAGGGTGGAGCCTCGGCAGGCAAATAGTGACTAGACTGCCTCCTAGCTGGGCATGACAGTGCAACAGACACTCATAAAGAAAGCTCTAACTCCCTGAGACAGAGCATCTGAGGAAAAAAAGGGGTTTTATGAGTTCTGCTGCAGCAGACTTAAATGTACCTGCCTAACAGCCCTGAATGAATAACAAAGCTCACAGCTCAGCACTTCAGCTCCTATAAAGTACAGACTATCCCCTCAAGCAGCTCCCTGACCACTGTATATCCAAAGAGTCACCTCAAAAAGAACTGATCAAACTGACATTTGGTGGGCATCAATCTGAGACAAAGATAGCAGAAGAAGAAACTGGAGCATCCCTCATTGTTCTGCAGCTGCTACAGGTGTACCCAGAAAAGCAGGTCCTGGAGTGGACCTCAGCAGTTGTACAGCAGAGGGGCTAGACAGGTAGAAGGAAAACCAAGTAACAGAAATACTTCATCATCAACAATCTGGGTGTCTACTCAAAGACCCAATCAAAAAGTCAGCAAACACTCAGATGACAGGTAAATAAAATCCACAAAGATGGGAAAAAATCAGCGCAAAAAGGAGGAAAACACCTGAAACCAGAACACCTCGCCTCCTACAAAGCACCAAAACTCCCCACCAGCAAGGGAACGAAGCTGGATAAAGAATGACTGTGACGAAATGACAGAATTAGACTTCAGAAGGTGGGTAATGAGAAACTTCTGTAAGCTAAAAGAACATGTTCTAAATCAATGCAAAGAAACTAAGAACCTTGAAAGAAGATTTGAAAAAAAATTCAAGGAAATGATAACAAGAATGGATAACTTAGAGAGGAATATGAATGAATTGAAAGAGCTGAAAAACACAACACAAGAACTTCGTGAAGCATGCACAAGTTTCAACAGCCGAATTGACCAAGCAAAAGAAAGAATATCAGAAGTCGAAGATCAACTCAATGAAATAAAACGAGAAACCAAGATTAGAAAAAAAAGTGCAAAAAGGAATGAACAAAGTCTCCAAGAAATGTGGAACTATGTGAAGAGACCTAACCTACGTTTGATAGGTATACCAGAATGTCACGAAGAGAACAAATTCAAGCTGAAAAATACTCTTCAGAATATTATCCAGGAAAATTTCCCCAACCTAGCAAGGCAGGCCAACACTCAAATCCAGGAAATACAGAGAACACCACAAAGATATTCCACAAGAAGAGCAACCCCAAGGCACATAATCGTCAGATTCACCAGAGTTAAAATAAAGAAGAAAATACTAAGAGCAGCCAGAGAGCAAGGTCGGGTCACCCACAAAGGGAAACCCATCAGACTCACAGCAGATCTCTTGGCAGAAACACTACAAGCCAGAAGAGAGTGGGGACCAATATTCAACATCCTTAAAGAATAGAACTTTACACCCAGAATTTCATATCCAGCCAAACTAAGCTTCATAAGTGAAGGAAAAATAAAATCCTTTGCGAACGAGCAAATACTCAGAGATTTTGTCCCCACCAGGCCTGCTTTACAAGAGATCCTGAAAGAGGCACTACACATAGAAACAAACAACTAGTACCAGCAATTTCAAAAACACACTAAATGCTAAAGAGCATCAACACAATGAAGAATCTACATCAAATAACAGGCAAAACAGCCAGCTAGCATCAAAATGGCAGTATCAAATTCACAAATAACAATATTAACCCTAAATGTAAATGGGCTAAATGCACCAATCAAAAGACACAGACTGGCAAATTGGATAAAAATCCAAAACCCATCAGTGTGCGGTATCCAGAAAACCCATCTCACATGCAAGGATACACAAAGGCTCAAAATAAAGGGATGGAGGAAGATTTACCAAACAAATGAAGAGCAAAAAATAAATAAATAAATAAATAAGCAGGAGTTACAATTCTCATCTCTGATAAAATAGACTTTAAAGCAACAAAGATCAAAAGAGACAAAGAAGGTTATTACATAATGGTAAAAGGATCAATACAACAAGAAGAGCAAACAATCCTAAATATATATGGCCCGAATACAGGAGCACCCAGGTATATAAGGCAAATTCTTAACGACTTACAAAGAGACTTAGACTCCCACACAATAATAGTGGGAGACTTTAACACTCCACTGTCAATATTAGACAGATCAACCAGACAAACAATTCACAAAGATATACAGGGCTTGAACTCAGACCGGGAACAAGCAAACCTGATAGACATTTACAGAACTCTCCACCCTAAATTCACAGAATATACATTCTTCTCAGCACCACATCATACCTACTCAAAAATAGACCACATAATTGGAAGTAAAGCACTCCTCAGCAAATGCAAAACAACTGAAATCATAAGACTCTCTCAGACTATAGTGATATCAAGTTAGAACTCAAAATTCAGGGGGAGGACTCAAGATGGCGCTGTGAGAACAACCCAGGATTGGAGCTCTCATTGAATCCGCAAACGGTGAGTCGGAGCTGCATTTCCAGACTGATCTTTGTTGCCCACAGAACGGGGAAACTCCCAAGTATAAAAAAGACACTGGACGCCAGGCAGTAGGTCTGCCTGGCGAAGCCGGCAGCCGGGGCAGTGGTGGCCGGCCCTACCCAGCAATCCCCACAGGGCGCGCTTGTCCGGGTGCCCTGTTGAACCAGCAACCTGAGACTTGAGAGGGCTGGACTTGAGACTGAACGAGACTTGGACAGTAGGCCAGCCCAGGGGATTGCAGGGACAGATCGTTTGGGACACCCAGTGGGACGAACAAAACCGTGATTTCAAACTATCCCGAGCAGACGGTCCGAGACGCTCTGTGGGGGAGGGGCGTCCACCACTACCGAGGCAACCCGCCCCAACTGAGATACACGCCCACTGCTGACGCAGCCAGCCATTACCGAGGCAACCCGACCCTACCGAGATACATGCCCACCGCTGACGCAGCCTGCCGTTGCTGAGGCAACACGCTACAACAAAGAGACTCTGCCGCAGGGCGTGGCGGAGACCACAGCAGAGCCTGCAGGAACAGGGCGAATCACACAACAGCAGGGCAGAGCCTCAGCAGCCAAACAGTGGCTAGTCTGCCTTCTAGCTGGGCAGGACACCTCATTGGACATCAAAAATTAAGCCGGAACCCCCCAACACTGAGCATTTGAGAAAAAAAGGGTTTTTTTAAGGAGCTCTGTTGCAGCAGAATCAAACATAGCAGCCTAACAGCCCTGAATGAACAACAGAGCTCACAGCTCAGCAATTGAGCTCCAAAAAAGTACAGACTGTCTCCTCAAGCAGCTCCCTGACCCCACTATATCCAAAAGACTGACATTTGGCAGGCATCATCCTGGGACAAAGATAGCAGAAAAAGAAACGGGTAGCATCCCTCACTGTGCCACAGCTGCTAGAGGTGCACCCCAGACAAGCAGGGCCTGGAGTGGACCTCAGCAGTCGTACAGTGAAGGGGCTAGGCTGGTAGAAGGAAAATCAAGTAACAGAAATACTTCATCATCAACAATCTGGGTGTCCACGCAGAGACCCAATTGAAAAGTCAGCAACTACGCAGATGACAAGCGGATAAATCCACAAAGATGGGAAGAAACCAGCACAAAAAGGAGGAAAACACCCGAAACCAGAACACCTCGCCTCCTAGAAAGGACCAAAACTCCTCACCAGCAACGGAACAAAGCGGGACAAAGAATGACTGTGACGAAATGACGGAATAAGACTTCAGAAGGTGGGTAATGAGAAACTTTTGTGAGCTAAAAGAACATGTTCTAAATCAATGCAGAGAAACTAAGGAACTTAAAAATAGATATGAGGAAATGATAACAAGAATGGATAACTTAGAGAGGAATATGAATGAATTAAAGGAGCTGAAAAACACAATACGAGAACTTCACGAAGCATGCACAAGTTTCAATAGCCGAATTGACCAAGCAGAAGAAAGAATATCTGAAGTCGAAGACCAACTCAATGAAATAAAACAAGAAACCAAGATTAGAGAAAAAAGCACAAAAAGAAATGAACAAAGTCTCCAAGAAATGTGGGACTATGTGAAAAGACCTAATCTACGTTTGATAGGTGTACCAGAAGGGGATGAAGAGAATGAATCCAAGCTGGAAAATACTCTTCAGGACATCATCCCGGAAAACTTCCCACACCTAGAAAGACAGGCCAACACTCAAATGCAGGAAATACAGAGAACACCACAAAGATATTCTGCAAGAAGAGCAACCCCAAGGCACATAATCGTCAGATTCAACAAGGTTGAAATGAAGGAGAAAATACTAAGGGCAGCCAGAGAGAAAGGTCGAGTTACCCACAAAGGGTAGCCCATCAGACTCACAGCAGATCTCTCGGCAGAAACACTACAAGCCAGAAGAGAGTGGGGGCCAATATTCAACATTCTTAAAGAAAAGAACTTTCAACCCAGAATTTCATATCCAGCAAAACTGAGCTTCAGAAGTAAAGAAAAAATAAAATCCGTTGCGAACAAGCAAGCACCCAGAGATTTTGTCACCACCAGGCCAGCTTTACAAGAGCTCCTAAAAGAGGCACTACACATAGAAAAAAACAACCAGAACCAGCCATTCCAAAATCACACTAAAAGTTAAAGAGCATCAACATAATGAAGATTCTACAACAACTAACAGGCAAAACAGTCACTTAGCATCAAAATGGCAGTATCAAATTCACACATAACAATATTAACGCTAAATGTAACTGGACTAAATACACCAATCAAAAGACACAGACAGAAAAATTGGATAAAAATCCAAAACCAATCAGTGTGCTGTATCCAGGAAACCCATCTCACATGCAAGGATACACAAAGGCTCAAAATAAAGGGATGGAGGAACACTTACCAAGCAAATGGAGAGCAAAAAAAAGCAGTACTTGCAATTTTCATCTCTGATAAAATAGACTTTAAAGCAACAAAGATGAAAAGAGACAAAGAAGGCCATTACATACTGGTAAAAGGATCGATAAAACAAGAAGAGCTAACGATCCTAAACATATATGGACCCATTTCAGGAGCACCCAGATACATAAGGCAAGTTCTTAATGACTTACAAAGAGACTTAGACACCCACACAATAATACTGGGAGACTTTAACACTCCACTGTCAATATTAGACAGATCAACCAGACAGAAAATCAACAAGGATATCCAGGGCTTGAACTCAGACCTGGAGCAAGCAAACCTGATAGACATTCACAGAACTCTCCACTCCAAATCCACAGAATATACATTCTTCTCAGCACCACATCACACCTACTCAAAAATTGACCACATAATTGGAAGTAAAGCACTGCTCAACAAATGCAAAACAACTGATATTATAACAAACAGCCTCTCAGACCATAGTGCAATCAAGTTAGAACTCAGAATACAGAAACCAACCCAGAACCGCACAGCTTCATGGAAACTGAACGACTGGCTCTTGAATGTTGACTGGGTAAACAATGAAATGAAGTCAGAAATAAAGAAGTTCTTCGAAACCAATGAGAACGAAGACACAACATGCAAGAACCTCTGGGACACATTTAAAGCAGTCTCTAGAGGAAAGTATATAGCAATAAGTGCCCATATGAGGAGAATGGAGAGATCCAAAATTGACACCCTATCGTCAAAATGGAAAGAGCTAGAGGAGCAAGATCAAAAAAACTCAAAACCAAGCAGAAGACAAGAAATAACTAAGATCAGAGCTGAACTGAAGGAGATAGAGACACGAAAAACCCTTCAAAAAATCAATAAATCCAAGAGCTGGTTTTTTGAAAAGATCAACAAAATAGACAGACCACTAGCCAGATTGATTAAAAAGAAAAGAGACAACAACCAAATAGATGCAATAAAAAATGATAAAGGGGAAATCACCACAGATTCCACATAAATTCAAACCATCATCAGAGAATATTACAAACAACTCTATGCACATAAACTAGTAAACCTGGAAAAAATGGATAAACTCCTGGACTCCTGTGTCCTCCCAAGCCTAAACCAGGAGGAAGCTGAAACTATGAATAGACCAATAACAAGGTCAGAAGTCGAGGCAGCAATTAAGAGCCTACCACACAAAAAAAGCCCAGGCCCAGACGGGTTCACAGCTGAATTCTACCAGACACACAAAGAGGAGCTGGTACCATTCCTTCTAAAACTATTTTTAAAAATCCGAAAAGAGGGAATACTTCCCAAATCATTTTACGAGACCAACATCATCCTGATACCAAAACCCGGCAGAGACCTAACAAGAACAGAAAACTTCAGGCCAATATCCATGATGAACATAGATGCAAAAATCTTCAATAAAATATTGGCAAGCCGAATGCAACAGCAAATCAAAAAACTTATTCACCATGATCAAGTAGGATTCATCCCGGGGATGCAAGGCTGGTTCAACATACGCAAGTCTATCAACGTAATTCACCACATAAACAAAACCAAAAACAAAAACCACATGATTATCTCAATTGATGCAGAGAAGGCATTTGACAAAATTCAACAGCCCTTTATGCTAAAAACCCTCAATAAACTCGGTATCGATGGAACGTATCTCAAAGTAATAAAAGCTATTTATGACAAACCAACAGCCAATATCATACTGAATGGGCAAAAACTGGAAGCATTCCCTTTGAAATCCGGCACTAGACAAGGATGCCCTCTTTCACCACTCCTATTCAATATAGTTCTGGAAGTTCTAGCCAGAGCAATCAGGCAAGAAAAAGAAATAAAGGGTATTCAAATAGGAAAGGTGGAAGCCAA